GCAAGGGGCAGGGACCCAGGCTGGCCGTGGACCCTGACACTGGCCTCACCGCTCAGCCTCCGACCCCCTCCCTTCAAGTACAGATCGCGGCACAGCAGCGCAGGGCTGTGCAGAGTTGACCCCGAGGGCAGCGGGAACCTGGTGCCGGCTGAGAGCCCAGAGGACGCTGGTCCGGGCACCCCGTTGCTGTGGCCTGGCCCGCGCTCCTGACAACCTGGGCCCGACCGGCGCCGAGGTCGAGTGCTATTCTCGGCTCTGTTTCCTCTCCTTGGCCGGCCCAGGGCCCATCACACAATCACTTTCGAGGCCTGGGCCTTGGGGCACCCGGCTGGCTCCGCGGGTGAAGCGTGCGATTCTAGACCTCGGGGTTGTGAGTTCAAGTCCCATACTGGGCGGAGAGATTACTTAAAAAATTGGGGCGCCTGGGTGGCACAGTCGGTTAAGCGTCCGACTTCAGCCAGGTCACGATCTCGCGGTCCGGGAGTTCGAGCCCCGCGTCGGGCTCTGGGCTGATGGCTCAGAGCCTGGAGCCTGTTTCCAATTCTGTGTCTCCCTCTCTCTCTGCCCCTCCCCCGTTCATGCTCTGTCTCTCTCTGTCCCAAAAATAAATAAACGTTGAAAAAAAAAATTTAAAAAATAAAATCTTAGGGGCGCCTGGGTGGCTCGGTCGGTTAAGCGTCCGACTTCAGCTCAGGTCATGATCTCATGGTCCGTGAGTTCGAGCCCCGCGTCGGGCTCTGTGCTGACAGCTCGGAGCCTGGAGCCTGTTTCAGATTCTGTGTCTCCCTCTCTCTCTGCTCCTCCCCTGTTCATGCTCTGTGTCTCTCTGTCTCAAAAATAAATAAACGTTAAAAAAAAAAGTAAAAAATAAAAATAAAATGAAATCTTTAGGGGCACCTGGGTGGCTCAGTCAGTTAAGCCTCTGATTCTTGGGTTTCGGCTCAGGTCGTGATCTCACAGCTGTGAGATCGAGCCTCACATCAGGCTCTGTGCTGGGCAGAGCCTCTCTGCCCTTCCCCTGCTCGTGGTCTCTTTCTCTCTCTGAAAATGAAGAAATAAACTTTAAAAAAAAAGCCTGGCCCTGGGTTCTCTCGCTGCATAGCGGCTGCTGAAAGTCAGCACAAAACAAGGTGATCCTTGTCCAATGCTGGAGAAACAGGGACTCGGTGGTCAGTGCGGGCCTCTCCGAAGAGACGCCAAGATCTGGGGGCAGAGGGAACAGCAAGGGCGGCGGCTCTGAGGTAGGAACGAGTTTGGTGTGGCTGACGGACAGGAAGTGTAGCAAGTGCCCGGTGAGGCCGGGGGAGAAGGTGGGGTGAGAGACCCTGGGGAGCCCCAAGGGCCAGGGAAGGGGTTGGGGCTTTATTCCGAGTGCGGTGGGAGGCCCTAAGGGGCTTTAAGTGAGCGGGTGGCGTGTAGAGAGACAGACAGACAGACTGGAGGAAGCCAGAGCCGCTGTCCTGGCTGGATCCGTGCAGGCACTTTGCAGGTGGGACAGGAAGTGTCTGCGGTGGCCCTGCGGGTCTCTGCATGCCCCTCCCCCTGCTTCCCCACCCCCACCACCCAGACGGCCCAGCCCGAAACTGTTTGCTGCCCCGGGTGGACTAGGCCTGGGAACCCCGTGTTTTCCCAGGGAGGGCAGGGCATCGGCACCTTCCCCAGATGTTGGGGGCCCTGAGAGCTGTTTGGAACAGGAAGGTGCTGGCTGCGGGCTTGGTGACAAAGGTCCTCTGAAGATGGACCAGGGCACTTGGGATCCTACCTGTTTCCTGAGCAAAAGACAGAGGGAACAGCGGGCCACCCACGGCCCCAGCGAACCAGTGACGTTCAGGGCAATCGAGGGATAATAACATGCGTTCGTTTTGTGTGCCCGCAACAAGGACACTGATGGCCCTGGGCACTGCAGGGGATGACCCAGAGCGCCGGGACCTGTGATCCATTACCAATGTCTGCTGTGGGCACGGGTGGAGAGAGTGGTGGCAGGGGTGTCCCTGTTTAACCATCCCTGGTCTAGCTTCGCCCCGAGGGATAGAGCCATTCTAGAACACAACAGTGGGCTGGCCCAGGAGGGCCAGAGAAAGGCACCGATTCGCCTACGTCCTAACCTCGAAGGCGCCACCAAAATGAACCAAAGGACATGTGTTCGAGGCCCACAGAGCTTTCCGGCAAAGCAAGATCCGTTCCGGTCTTTGTAAGCTCTTTAGAGAGAGAACCCCCTTCTCACAGGGACCGGGTGTCACCAGGCCTCGGGCCCCAGTTCTGTCACGGGAGTCCCAAGAACTGCTCTCCACGGGCCAGCCTCCAGGGCTCTCTGTGCTTCCTCAAACACACGGAGCCTAATCCCACTGAGCCTCTGTGCTTGCTAAGCCCTGTGCCTGGAACTCTCTCCCACCGCCGAGCCCTTGTACAGGGGGCAGCTGACACACCAGCTTGGCGAGTGAGCAAAAGTAATTCCGTCTGCCTGGGCCTCAGTTTCCCCGTCTTCATAATGAGCAGGGGGCCTTGAGTCTCCGGATTGCTCCGTGGGTTATAGTTGGTGACGACGTCAGCATTATCACCAACACCGCTAACGGAGAGGAGGTTACGAGGCTCTGTTCCGGATGTCTCACGTGAATCAGATCACCTCCTCTCTGCGGTATTCCTATAAAGCGTGACTATTATCACCCTCCTTTCCCAGGCGGGGAAACTGAGGCACTGAGAAGCCCAGGAAGTTGTTCAAGGTTGCCCAAACAGAATGCGGGGCACGGGCACTCAAGCCCAGTGCCCTGGTTCTGGAGCCCACCTGGCCCTGCGTTCCCGGGGGGAAACACAGGTGTGAGCAGGGCAGGAGCCGGGGGGCTCAGGGGCCTTGTCCAGGAAATGCCACGATGGCACACTCCTCTGGGTGATGGCGAGGAGGAAAATGAGGCTGCGTCTGAGAGCTTGCAGGGCACACAGTGGCGCCAGGGGACAGACCCCACCCTCCTCCTTGCCCGGCCCTTCTCTGCACCTCTGTTTCGTTTCCTCAGCTGCCATAAAGACGATAAACCGTGTCGGCCCCCAGGGCAGCTCCCAGGGGTCAAGAGCCACGTATGGGAAGCACATGGGGTGTGCTTCTTGGGGCCTGAGCACCCACTATGGCCAGGCTCTGGGGACACAGGCGTGAAGAGGACATGGCCAGCCTTCAGGGCCAGGAAAAGAGGCAGTGAATGCTACCTGCTGTGTCCCCGGCTGTGGTGGGGGCCCCGAAGCTAACCGGAGGGCCCAGGGGTTTCAGGGAGGAAGCCTTGAGGGTGGGGAGATAGGAGCCAAGCAAAGAGGGGGAGGGGTGTCCCCAACAGGGGGGACAGCCCGAGCAAAGGTCAGGAAGCCCCAGAGGGCGAGGTGGGTTCGGGAACAGACAGCAATTCAGGCAGGCCGGAGAGCGAAAGGAGTTTGCAGTGAGACTGGACGGGTCAACAGGGCCAGCCCAAACCAGTTCTCATACCCACATAGCCATGCCGGAGGCATGGACTTCACCTGAGCTCCAGGGAGGGTTTAGGCAAAAGCGCCTCTGGCTGCCAGGTGGGAAGGAGGGAGATTATGTACAGATGGGGGACCCCAGAAGGCTTCCTGGAGGAGGTGACTTAGGTGAGCTTTGGGAGAAGAGAGCTCAGAGAGCCTAGGAAGGTAGGCAAGAAGGGCGGGGAGTTCTAGAAGGGAGATAGGGGTAGACAAAGGCCCAAGGAAGGAAGGGCAGGCGAGTTCTGGAAGGGAAAGCCTTAAAGACCTAGAAGTAGGATCCTTTCTGGAACGCTCCCCTGGGGAAGCAGGAAAGTGAAAATGAGGTCGGAGGCAGATCAGATCCACGAGTTGGTCCTCGGATGTGGGGGGGGGGGGTAGGTGGCGGCGGCTGTTCCCCCCACATCCGCTCCCCCTGTGGGAGCAGCCGGCCGGGCGTCCAGCACGGGGCCGGCAGGGTTGGGCAGGTCAACCACAGCTCCCACCCTCTGCAGCCTGGGCTCAGGGACAGCGAGCTGTACGGAGTGGCCCCTGGGGGAGGCTGGCCCTGCACCGCACAGCTGCCCGGGAGCCTCACGGCCTGGCTATGAACGGAGGGCGGGGGGGGCGCATCTCTAGGCTCCTTCTGAACGGTGCACAGAAGGCCACTGGCAGTGGCCATCGTCCCCCGGGCCCCGTGCTACGACCTTTGCAGGGAATGTCTTCTGAGTGCATTATCGTTCCCGCCATACACATGGGGAAACTGAGGCTCAGAGAGTCACCCTAGGTCACTCGGATAGGAAAGGCCAAGTCAGGATTCTCAAGTCCATTTCTAAACCGCCAGACTTTTCTGGAAGTTGTCCAAGCTTGCCTCGTCCCCTCCCTCACCGCCCCCCACCCCCTGCCCCAACCTCAGGTCTGCCTTAGTGTGTGACCTCCGCTGTCAGCTCTACGTTCCACAGGTGATAAGACAATATGCCACTCCCCTCTCGCCAGCCCAGGCGGGCATCACTAAGCTGGCATTAATCCCCCACTGGTATACTTTCCATTTGCTCCACTGCACACAGCCTCAGAATCCTTCTTAACCTGGCACTCTGGGCAGCCGCTACGGATTGATTAGAGCTGGCATCCAAGAGGACACCTATCGGCCATCCCTGGTCCAGTGTCACCCATCACTTAATAGAAGGGGTGACTGAACCCCGGAAATGGGAAGAGACTCGTCACGGCCACCAGCGATTTAGTGACAAAGCCAGGCCTGGGACCCAGCCTCCTGACTCGTTTCTGGTGAGCGGGGCCCCGTGGTCCTTAGAGATGCCGCAGAAAGCAAGGACTCACCAACGATCCCTCCCCGCCCTGGATCAAGTGGCTTTCCGTCAGTCCCGTGGGAGCAGAGGAATCCAACCCCTTGGATGGTGGCTGAGCCACTCTCAGAAGCCCCTCCGCGGGCCCCTGTCCTGGGCAGCTAGACTGCCGTCCCATCAGGCCAACGCCAACGCCCCCAGGCCTCCCCGCCGACAGTTTGGGGAAAAGCAGTCACTCACCACTGCTGGACTTCCTTCTCGGTAACTGCAAGAGAAAAGAGAAGCAGCCTTTTAGCTCTGGGAGGTGTCTCAGGGGACGGGCTGCCCCGGGGGACCCCTTTCCTGCCCTCCCCAGCCCGCCCCGCGGCGCCCCTGCCCCCCATGGTGGGGCACCTGCCGGCTCTGAGTAAGAGCTTGCCCCAGGGGTGACCAGTCCCAGTCAGGAGCTCCGTGTCCAGCCACCCCCGCGGGGGCCGCCCTGGCCTATCCCTCCTGACGCCCACTGGGCATCCACGAGGACCAGCGAGAGCAGCCTCCCACATGCAGGGGTGCAGGAAGGAGCGTCACCCCCAGGCCGACATTTAAGATACGCTGCTCCCCGCCTCGCAGTCCTGGCACAGCACAGGGGCGTCAGAGAGGGCACCCGGCTGCCCTGTCTGTGTACGGGAGGCGGGGGGATCCCAGGACCGAAAGGCTGAGCACCCCCTCCCCGCCCTCCCTCCTCGGCCTGCCCCTCCAGCTCCTTATAGCGGTTGGTCCCAGGTTCTTTTGCAGGCAGTACGAGACCAGCGCCCAGAACGAAAACCTGGGACAAGCCACATAATGTGGTCGAACATCCAGCCAAGCCCAAAGAGGCATTCTTTATTGAACCATGAAACAAACAAAAAAAAATCTCTTTTTTTCTGAAAAGTACTACATTGGCTCGGGTTGGAGGCAAACCAGCGTTCTCCCTACAATCAGTGAATGAGCACGTCGAACCACCTCCAAGGCCGCACTCACTCTCCCTGGGGGTGGCCACGGGAGACTGCCTCCAGCAAGCCGTGCCTCAGTTTCCTCATTTGTAAAGCGGGAATAACAGTAACGGTAGCTGCCAGGGGAGCTGTCCTGGGAATTCAATCAAAACCAGTGTGAGAGCTCCTGATTCCCTGGCACAGACGCTGACTCAGTCCAGGCTTGTGGAGGGAAGGAAGGAAGGAAGGAAGGAAGGAAGGAAGGAAGGAAGGGAGGGAGGGAGGGAGGGAGGGAGGGAGGGACAGACAGGAAAGTGGGTGTTAGGGGAATGTCAGCTGAGAAAAGGAACTGCGATCTCTTCCCAGGGAAAAGGGAAGGGAGGCCCAAGGGGGTGTCCCTGAATTGCTGTGGCTGATTGGACACGAGGAGGCCGCTTTCCAAAAGCCGCTCCAAGGGAGCCTGTACGAAGTGCCAGACACCAAGGGGCCACTGGAAGCCCGGCTCTGTGCCAGGGCCGGGCCTCTGTGCTTTGACTCAGCTGCCCTGACCGCAGCGCCCGAGGGAAGACAGCGTGACTCTGCCCTGGCGCCAGATGGGGAAACTGAGGCACGAAGGGGCCGGGACCTGAAGTGATGGGGTGAGGGTCTGAACTCGGGCGTGTGGCTCGGCCGCCTGCCCCACAGCCTGGAATCGGGTGGTCAGACTCCCGGGGAAGCCTGGAGGCCGCTGCCAGAGCCCTCCCCCCACAAGCCCAAATCCCAGGCGCCCGTCCCAGAGCAGACAGCTGGTGCATGGAAGGCATGACAAGGACGGGAGGTGCCGATTACCTGGACTGGCCAGACCCGGTATTAGAGAATGCAATTTTCCAAGAGAGTTCGGGCAGAGGGTGGAAGGAGGGAAGGGGGTCAGGCAGGGGAGGGGGGTGGAGAGGGAAGCCGGCCCTTGTCCGACCCCGAGCTGGGCCCCCCTGGCCCCCCCCCCCCGCCTGGGGGGGGGGGGGGGGGCGCGGCAGGGGCGGGGAGGGGATGACGTGCAAAGCCCAAACCTGGAGAGACACAGGAAACCCACCAGGGCACAGGCGGGGGCTTACGGGTCCGCGCTCTGGAGCCAGACGAGACCGCCTGGATTCGAATCCAACGCCGCAGCTTTCTAGCCCTGTGTCCTTTGGGGGGGGAGGTACCTCCTCTCTCTGGGCCTCAATTCCCTCATCTGGAAAACGGGCCGTTGCAAAGACTTAACTGGCTTGGTGTTCTTCACCTGCACAAGAATCCCACAGGCAGGTGGTGGTTCCACTTTCCCGAACAAGGCCGAGGTTCGAGACAAGTCCGCGTACTTGGCCTGAAGCCACCCAAGGCCACCTTGCCAGGAAAGGGCAGGGCCGCGACGGCCCTCGGAGCCCGGGATGAGCGCACAACGGGGATGGGTGCCGACGAGCTGCCTGGCCTCATGTGGCCTCGGCATCACGTGACAGGAACGGCAGGAGCCGGGGAGCAGACCCAGCGCTGGCCTCTGGCCTCACAAGGCCCGAGGAGGCTCCCCTGGAATATCCCTTATCTCAGAAGTCCCCGCCCCCCCGCTGTCGCCCCTGTCTCCAGGATGTAGCAGCTATGGTGGGGGAGGGGCAGAGTTAGCTGCCCCTCCCCCATCAGAATGGTCCTCAACACAGAACACTGGTTGTCGGGCAGGCAGCCAAGCCCCAGGGGATGCGAGCCGGGGGGCTTGGGGCGATGGGCCCTGCTGATGCTTTAAGGAGCCAATTAACCTTCAGGGAACAGAGGAAGCCATGAGGTGTCCCCTTGGCACCATGGAGGGTCTGGAGTGGGGCGGGCATCAGGCAGCCCTCGGGGCGCCCAGCCACCTGCCCCCCGGCCCCTCCACCAGGGTCAGGAGTCCTGGAGGTGACCAGGGTGAACCTCACTGTTCAGGCGAGGAAGCTGGGCTGGGGACCCGAGGGAGGGACCCAGGGCCACGGCCAGAAGGAGGCACGGCAGGATGTCACTGCCCAGGTCCGCCCAATGCCAAGGCCACTCCGTCTGGGTTTCCGGGAGCTCAGCCGTCCCGGCACCACCTTCCCGAGTCCTCCCTAACCACCTGTCTGATGATTCACTCGGGACGTTTCTCTAACTCAGCTCACTCATCTGCCTCATCTAGCCTCAGCCTCAGCACTAACAGCCGTAATTTTGCCCGTGACGTGTGCTGGTCGTTATCTTTTCTAATACACAACAAAAGTATCACCATGAAGATGACCGTCCTTGATCAAACCTGGCCTCGCCAATGGGGAAACGCGCCGACAGCATGTGTCCCCCCCCCCCGCCCCCGCCCCAGATCTGGTGCTGTGGAAGCACGTGAAGCCCACGGAGTTCTCCTGCCGGAAACAGTCAACCTATTAGGCTATTAGACTCTAATAGACTATTAGAATAGTCTAATCATGAGGACAGCAGCAGACAAATCCAGAAGGCGGGACAAGTCTACGAGACAGCTGGCCGGGACACTTGAGTAAGTCGGCCGCCGGCCGCCGTGAAAGGTAAAAGAAGGCAGGGGATTGTTCCAGAAAAAGAGACAAGGCCGTCAAATGCAACTCGCAAAGCCTGGATGGGGTCCTGGATCTGGAGTTAACGACCAGCAATAGCAAACCTTATTCGGAGCGCTGGGGAAACTCCACCGGGGGGGGATTAGATGCCCCGATGGGCTCGCGGCCGATCTGCTTAGGAGTGACACCCAGGTTCTGTGGGAGAATGTCCCTTGTCGTCGCAGATGCGCCCTGAAGGACCTAGAGACAATACCAGCAGCTTCTTGGACGAGGTTCAGAAACACACACACAGAAAGAGAAGCCAACCCTGGCAAAAACGTCGACACCGGCCACTCTAGATGAAGGACACACAGGTGCTCGCTGCGCTGTCATCTCAATTGCTTCTCTTGATTTTTCAAAATAAAAAGTTGGGGCGGCGGGCGGGGGAGAGATTTTTAGAGCCCTCAGGTCCACAGCCTGGGTGCGCAACCCCACCCACAGCACCAGAAGCGCGGGGGGTGGGGGGGTCCTGGAGCTCTGACTATCACAGACACTGGGAGGGCGGGAGGAGGGGGGTGGGGGGACATCATGGGGTCCCCCTGCTCCACGCCCCACCCAGATACCAGAGCCACATTCCCAGGCCCGTTTCTTGGCGGGGGCCGGGGCCCGCGCCCCGCGGGGAACCTGCATCCAAGTGAGAAATGATCAGGCGTCGCTCACACCGCACTTGTAACGGGCGGGTCCGTGCTCAAGGCTGGAGTTCAGGGCTCAGAGCCCAGCAGGAAGGAAGGCTGTCCTCAGGGCTATCTGCCCCCGGACCACTGCCTCCAAGCCCCTTTAACCATCCTCCCGCCTCCTGGCTCTTGCGCGTGCTGTCCCTCTGCCCAGGACACTCGTCCTCCCCTCTTTCACCTCGGTAGCCCTATGTACCTTTTTGGTCCCCTCTGGGATGCCCCTTTCCTACAGAGCCCTCCAGCCTGCCACAGCCCCCTCTGAAACGCCCCGATCCGTGGCAATCCCTGCTTGCCACGCGGTCTGTCTGACCGCCCGGGGCCAAGTCGGCGAGGGGGACAGCGGTGGAGTGGCGAGGTCCAAAGAAAGGGCTCTGGGGTCGGCTCGGCCAGCACTCCAGGCCAGGGCTTTGCTTGTGCGGCCTTGAACAATGACTCCACACCTTGGAGCCTTGGTTTGCTCATCTGAGAATGGGACAAGTGACAGCCTCTGTCTTATCAGAGGAGGGTGTCCTTAAAGCACGTGGCACGACATCTGCCATCTAGCAGATGTTCAACAGAAGCACTGTTTTCTCCTCTACCCGGCTGGATGCCAAGCCCTCAGAGACCGAGGCATACCCTAGCATCGCCCTCGGCACCCGGCCCAGCCTCCTGCACACCGGGGGCAGAGAACAAACCCCGGGTGATTTCCCACCGTCACCGAGCCACCCGGCTGCATGTGGGACACATCCTACAATATGTTTCTCATGTACAGGTTTACCTTCACGAAACCTGTGACCGGCTTTGGCCCACTTTGAAAACGAGCTGTCTTTCTCCAGCTCGCTCTTGCCGGCAGGCCGGGGGGGGGGGGGGGGGGGGGGGCGCGGGGGGAGCGGAGAGCCCGGACTCAATAGGAAACCAGTATTGACAACCCCAAGGCTGAGGCGTTGGGAGGCTCGGGGTCAGCATCCTGTCTTGGCCATTTGTAGGCTGTGTTGTTCTGAACAGGTTACTTAACCTCTCTGAGCCTCTGATTCCTCATCTGAAAGATGGGGTTTACATAAACTCCTACTCGACACGGCCGTTGGGAGGGCTTCTTAAAAGGTGGATAGAAAACTCCCAGCTTAGGGGCGCCTGGCTGGCTCGGTCCGTGGAGCATGTGACTCTTGACCTCGGGGTTGTAAGTTTGAGCCCCACGTGGGGTATAGAGACA